TAGGGAGGTGTTAGTACCGTTATACAAGGCACTAGTGAGACCTCATCTGGAATACCATTGTGCAGTTCTGGTCTCCCATGTTTAAGAAAGATGAATTCAAACTGGAGCATGTGCAGAGGGCTACGAGGATGATCAGAGGAATGGAAAACCTCCCTTATGAGAGGAGACTCAAAGAGATTCACTTATTTAGCCTAAGCAAATGAAGGCTGAAGGGAGATATGAGTATTTTCTATAAATACATCGGAGGAATAAATACCAGGGAGGGAGAGGAGTCATTTAAGTTAAGCACAAATGTTGACACAAGAACAAATGGATACAAACTGACCATCAACATGTTTAGCTTTCCAAGGGGAATAGTGGGCACAAAAAACCTAACTGGCTTAAAGACTGAGCTTTTTAAGTTTATGGAGGGGATGGTATGATGAAACTGCCTACAATGGCATTTAGCCAATCTGCATCTGCTGGTAGCAAATATCCTCAATGGCCAGTAATGGGACACTAGATGAGGAGGCTCTGAGTTACTACAGATAATTCTTCCCCAGGTGTCTGGCTGTTGTGTCTTGCCGGAATGCTCAGGGTTCAACTTACTGCCATATTTGGGATCAGGATGGAATCCCCACCCCCCAGGTCAGATTACCAGAGACCCTACATTTTTTTCTGCCTTCCTCTGCATCATGGGACACAGGTCATTTTCAGGTTTAAACTAGTGTAGATGGTGGGCGTTCTGTAACTTGAAGTCTTTAAATTGTGATTTGAGGACTTCAGGAACTCAGTCAGAGGTTATGGGTCTATTACAGGAGTGGGTGGGTGAGGGTCTGTGGCGTGAAATGTGCAGGAGTCAGACTAGATGATCACGATGGTCCCTTCTGGCCTTAGAGTCTTTGAGTCTATTTTGAAAGTGAACAGAGGCTTTGTGGCTGCCAAAACATGGGGAGATGCATGTAGAGTCCTGTGAGTCTCCTGCAATACCAATGAGATAATTAATACATAAAACAGGAGCTGCATTAATTATTTATTATTTTATTTATATTTTATATAACCCCAATAATGAGCTAGGCACTTTCCAGGTGAGTATGAAGTATTGGCTGATAGCCTGATGGGCATAAAGTCTAGATAAACAATGTAGAAACAGTGGAAGGGGAAATGGATGTAATGAAATGCAGTGACACTGAATGGTGACGTTTAATATCTCTTGATGGTAATAGACATTTTCTCCCATCTAATTACCATTTCTCCCTGGAGATTACTAATGTTTGTAGGCTTTTTAGAAGAAGTATAGTTTAAGGATGAACTTGAAAGAAGGCTGGAGGCATGGCAGACTAAGTAATAATGTATATGCTTTAGGTATTAACTGAAGTCCTTATATGTATCACAGGAGAAACACAGAACCCCAAATCAAGTTGTCACATGTAAAAGAAGGAGGACTAGGGTTTGGATTTTAAACAGTTTAGTTTTCCAATGTACTTATTTATCATTTAAATTTGTATATATTCAGTGAGTAACTGGAGAGTTTAAAGTATTTTTTGAATATATCCTATATGTGAAGTTGGTAGTGATCCTAGAGTTAATGTTGCCTGAAGTTGGTAGTGATCCTAGAGTTAATGTTGCCTAAAACGTTCCATTTTAAGCTCCTGTTTTCAGCTGCTTATAACTTGGCCAATCTTTAACCATTTTGTCTGAAGATTTCCATGTTTGCTCTCTGCCTTAGGTTGAATTTTTAAAATAAATTTCCGCAAAAGCAATCCATCCATTTCTCAGAAGAAAGTTAGGAAAAATAGGTAGTTTTGTCCTTTTAAACATGTAAACAAAGTGTGTGTCATGTTTCCTCTGGTCCCTTATAGCCACAAAGAGTATAACAGCCTGTTACTGCTATGGGTTGTTCTTTTCACTCGAGTGGAGAGGTCTGTGTTGTGAATATAAAGAGGTTGGTTTCAAACCCAGTTGACGACCCATGTCATAATACTCACACAATGGAATTTTTGTTTTGTTCAGATTGTTTTCAAACCTAGAAAATTACATACAAAACTACTTCAAAACATTGCTTCAACATTAAGGTTGCAAGTCAAGCACTCAAAAGTTAGGAAATGCCGGAATTCAGGTTGTCCCAGCTGTCTGACTTAGGAAAATTGACGTTTTAAAAACATATCATTTGTATGATTGGTTCTTGTGGATAAGGCATAGGAGAAGAAGACAGAATATCTTGGTTGTTTTCTCAGGCTTGTCACAGATATCAGTACATTGGCTGAAAAATGAATTTTTTGTAGCACCAAAACTACTTGCAGATTTAGGTCAAATTCAGCATACAGTTTTGGCCCCAAAAAAGGAAACATATTTTGAAAAAGTTGAAATGTTTCTGCCATTTCAAAATGAAACATTTCTATTTCTTGACTCAAAGTGTTTTATTTTAACCATTTGATGTCTTCAGGTTGGCAACGCCTGACGAAATACATCCTAGAATACTTAAGGAACTAACTGAAAAGATCTCTAAATGATTAGCAATTATCTTTGAGACCTTGTGGAGGATGGAAAAGATCCTGGAGGACTGGAAAAGGGCAAATATAGTACTTATCTATAAAATGGGGAATCAGGACAACCCGGGGAATTATAGACCAGTCATCTTGAACTTTCAGTAACTGGAAAGACAGTGGAGCAAATAATCAAACACTCAATTTGTAAGCACCCTAAAGAAAAAAAGGTGATAAATAACAGTCAACATAGATTTGTCAAGAACAAATCATGTCAAACCAACCTAATATTCTTCTTTGACAGTGTAACAAGCCTTGTGAATGGGGGGAACTTGTAGATGTGATATATCTTGACTTGCCTCACATGAGCTCATAAACCAGGGATCGGCAACCTTTGGCACACAGCCGGTCAGGGAAAGCCACTGGTGGGCCGGGACAGTTTGTTTACCTGCAGCGTCCACAGGTTTGGCTGATCACAGCTCCCCCTGTCTGCTGTTTGCTGTTCCAGGCCAATGGGGGCTGCAGGAAGTGGCGGCCAGCACATCCCTCGGCTAACGCTGCTATCCGCAGCCCCCATTGGCCTGGAATGGCATACCACGGCCAGTGGGAACTGCGGTTGGCTGAACCTGCGGACCTGCAGGTAAACAAACCATCCCGGCCTGCCAGCGGATTTCCCTGATGGGCTGCGTGCCAAAGGTTGCTGATCCCTGCCATAAACCAAATGGAAAATATAACCTAGATGAACCTACTGTAAGTTGGGTGAACAACTGGTTGGAAAACATTACTCAGAGAGTAGCTATCAGTGGTTCACAGTCAAAGGAAGTGCATATTGAGTGGGATCCTGCAGCGATCAGTCCTGAGTCTGGTTCAGTTTAATATCTTGATAAATTATTTAGAAAATGGCATAGAGAGTATACTTATAAAGCTTGCATATGATATCAAGCTGCGGGGGAAGAGGGGGGTTGTAAGTGCTTTGGAGGATAGTATTAAAAAAATTAAAAATTATCTGAACAAGCTGAAGAAATGGTTTGAAGTAAATAGGATGAAATTCAATAAGGACAAATGCAAAGTACTACACTTAGAAAGGAATAATCAGTTGCACACATACAAAATGGGAAAAGACTGCCTAGGAAGGAGTACTGCAGAAAAGGATCTGGAATTATAGTGGATCACAGATGAAATATGAGTCAACAATGTAATGCTGTTGCAAAAAAAGGGAACATCATTCCAGGATGTATTAGCAGAAGTGTTGTAAGAAAAGACATGAGAAGTAATTCTTCCATTCTACTCAGCACTGATTAGGTCTCAACTAGAGTATTGTGTTCCGTTCTTGGTGCCACACTTCAGGAAAGACGTGGACAAATTGGAGAAAGTCCAGAAGAGAGCAATAAAAATTATTAAAGGTCTAGAAAACACCATCTCTGAGGAAAGACAGAAAAAATGGATTTGTTTAGTTTGTAGAAGAGAAGAATGAGGAGAGACATGATAACAGTCTTCAAGTACATAAAAGGTTGTTATAAAGAGGAGGGTGATAAATTGTTCTTAACCACTGAGGACAGGAAGTAATGGGCTTAACCACTGAGGACAAGAAGCAATGGGTTTAAACTGCAGAATGGGAGATTTAGGTTAGACATTAGGAAAAACTTTCTAACAGTAAAGGAAGTTAAGCACTGGAACAGATTACCTAGGGAGATTGTGGAATATCCATTACTGGAGGTTTTTAAACACAGATAACTCTCATGGATGGTCTAGATGCTACTTAGTCCTCCCTCAGTGCTGGGCACTAGACTAGATCACCTATCAAGGTCTCTTCCAATCCTACATTTCTGTGATGCTAATTCCTATGTTCCCAGAGGAGTAAAGGCAGGATTTTGTGAAAAGGTGATGACAGTAGATGTCCAAATTCTTTTAACATCCTCCTTCTGAATTAAGGAATTTTTGGTGACAGAAGTAATGTTATATCAGTTCAACTGAATGAAGTTTGAGTAAAATGGAACAGAAAAAAAGTTAATTGAAAAATATTAGAAAGCCATTTCCAGTACCACAACTGGTCTTGCAATTCACAAAACTTATTCACTGAGACCAACATAAAAATGTTCTGTCTCATGGAAATGGAATCCACAACTGATATTATAATTTACATTTGTCCTTTCTATTTTTTTTTTTTTTGAGATTACATCCTTGCAAGGGCTTGATCCTAAGTGCCATCAACTCCCATTGAAGTGGGCACTCAGCATTTATCTTCAGGTGTTTTCATTGTATCTCTCTCTGAATCAACAATAGAAGGTGATTTCAGTAAATTTCATTCACTAGAATGTCTCCATCAGTTCCTTCTCTCACCAAGGGTTAATGTCACATCATTACAAAAAAATTTCTTTTATAAAATTGTGATCAGCAAGGTTATATTTCTGCCAAATTTCAAATCACATAAAAGATTGTGCATCATTAACCAGCTGTCTTTAGGTTTAGGTCTAAAAGGATTTGGAACAATACTTGTTGCAGAATAACACATTAAGTTTCTTTTGCATTTAACAGCAAAGAAGAAATATTGGCAATATCTGATGAAGACATATGGAATAATTCAAGGACTTCAGGTACAACAGCTAGTTTAATTAGTTCTTCCTTACTGCACATGTTAATTAAAACAGATAATGTAACAAACAGTCCAAATGGATGTTAAAGTATATTTTTGTTAACTCTTCAGTGGCAAACATCCCCGAAATTGTTTATTCACATGAGAAGGACAAAGACATTGAATCGCATCATGAAAATGTAAAAGATATAAATGTTGAATGCAATGAAGATAATAAGGAAGATAATGAAAAAGAATTAGAGTTTCTGGTAAGTGTTATACAATTATATCCACAGTGTTAGATGATATGAATCCATTTACACATCAAAGGTGGTGAAAAAGCCCCTTTTAACAGAACTGACGGATGTACTAATTTACAAATGTAAAACCATAGTCTGTATTTTCATTGTATCTCCCTCTGAATCAACAATAGAAGGTGATTTCAGTAAATTTCATTAAGTTCTTGTGGTCTTAAATTAATGGCTTCTATCTGTTACCTCCTTATCAGAGTATCTAAGTGATCGTTTCAAAGAATTAGAACAGTGACCTTTCAAAGATCTCTCTTCCTAGCCTCTGTGATGAGTATATACTTAACATAAACACTTAACGTTTGGTAAAATTCCTGTATTTATGGTACTGTGAGCCTTACAGATGTTTCAGAGATTAACTATGTAATACACTACATGAACAAAATTCCAATGTCTATAGTTTTAACAGGAAAAATTATATAACTACTACAGTAGACTTTTCTAGACCTGTATTTAGCATTAAATTTGTTATCATAAATTTCACATTCAGTGAACATTCAATCTATTTGGGGATTTTTATGGTTTGGCTTGCATTTTGCACCATGAAGGAAGAAATGGCAGTAAATGAGACACATACAGCCATCTATTATTCTCGGTGTCTGTTCTGAGCTTATGTCTTTTGGGTACATAGATTCATAATCATCGATTAAAATGGCTACTGTCTGTGAAAATGTGAATGCTGAATCAGACCAGAGAGGAAGAGGAGTGCCACTCAGTCTTTTTGATAGGGAGGAGAATTATTTCCTCACACTTAAGTATGAAATTTTCTTAACTCTAACTTTAAGAAAGTTCAAAGTTGTCACTTATTGTGGGAGCTCCTACTGCCTGAAAAATCAACATCTCCATTTTTTTTTAAACAAAACATATATTTTTTAAAAAGGCCCTAAAAATCACATCTTTTTTCTTGATTTACCCTGTTACAATGAGCAGGTTCAAATATAACAGTTTGTTTATAAATTACAGAGATTGTCCATACAGTAAATGAAGAGGGAAGCTGTAATTTAGATGTTAATTTGTACTATGCATTCTTTAATGAATTAAACAATGAAGATCTATAATAGATGGAAATACAATCAAATCTTTGAAACCCACAGGCATTGGCTCACAAGACAGCTGTGCAGTTGACAAGTAACATGAGCCTTATGTGAGAAGAAGGGGAAATCGTAAGATTTGCATATAATTATTGAGATCATGCAAATGTCAGTTATGAGAAGCAAAAAAACCACAGGCATCTCACTGTTAAATCCTGACAGTTGGCATCACCGAAGAGCTCAAATACATTTGAGCACCAGTTGGCAGAGGGTCATTAAAACAGAATTTGCAGAGACATTAGCTCCCTCACTTTTCTTTGAGTGACGTTTTACTATTAATAGTTTGCAGCGGCTTTGCAGAAAACATATTAATAAGAGAAATTGTAATGGGGATATCTACAGCAAGTGTAAATGTAACAAGGTGTGCCTGAGAAGCTATCCTCTAATTGATCAGCATGGAGCTATCAGTGTGAGTATCCTAAAGTGAAGAGAGAGTGCAATGACAAGCAGGCACAGCTGAATAATACAATATGATATTTGGGAGCTAGGGAAGGAGAATGATTAGTTTCTGGCCTTTTTCTTCACTAATCTCATTCCCAATGTCTGCCTTACTAGATTGTCTAAAAACATTCTGGTTTGACGTCTGCAAAATGGTTCCTAAGAGAAATGAAGCAAAGATCATTCTAACGGTACTTGTCAGTGTGCAACATGTCTTTGTTTTACTGGACAATACTGAATGTTACCAGGCTTTGATGTACTGTATCAATGCTCTCACTAAAAACAAAACAAAACAAAACAACCCAAACAAACAAACAAACAAACAAAAACCCAACAAAAAACTCACAACCCTAGAACTGAATGTGCAGAGCTAACTGAAATGTTAGCCTCCCATTTAGAGAATATTCTCTTTAGGTTTCATTTGTATAAAATGCACTTGCAGCTTACTGAATTCATGAATAAAGAAACAGCATTCTGAATACTATTGATGTCTTTCTTTCAGACGCACTATAAATCTCATTACATATGTTAAAAAATACATACAATGAAAATTTTGCAAATTGTTCGGAACATGTTTCCATAAAAGCTTTGAAACAGAAAACAAAACTTTCCATAATGAAAGCTTGCCTCATTCATTTTGAATATTTTTATAGAGCTCGTTCTGATCATTCTTTTCTATTCTATTTTTTCAGCTAAGTCGGCAGTTCACAAGAACTAGAGGTACTTCTTCCAGAGATGAAAGGAATTTATGCACAACAGAGCCAGTTAATTTTCCAAATGAAGCCCAAGGACTGGAGAATAAGCTAACACTTATGGAAACAGGCACTGACTTGCTCAGGGAGCCTGTGCCTATCAGTTCCCCTTCAGAAAATACTTTACAAGAGCTAGGAAAAGAATTACATGATAACGAAAAGTATTCCATAAAATATGATTATAGTCAGCCATTAGCAAAGGAACTTACTGCAGGCTCTGTAAACAATACTGAGCAGCCTTTGGAATGCATTGGTACCAGTGAAATGCTTTTATCACAGGATTATTTGCCTGGAACAATGCAAAATGTGACTATCCATATTAAAGATACTGTCTTAAGCAGACAAGGAATGAGCCATGTAGATATTTCAAAAGGTGAAACAGATAGTGCCTCAGGAAGCGAAATGATGGAGAGGTTATTCATCAGTGGGGAAGATGCTGATATCTACAAAGAGGCCTGTGAAATGAGACCAGAAACAATTTCTTCAGAGCATGATGAATCAATGCAATTAAATACATGCGTAACCGAAGCACTGGATGACAATGCTAATCCAGCTCCAGAACGACACATTCTGCAAACATCTCACCTAATGCTAACCTCGGTATTGCCAGACAGTGACAAACATGAAGAGAAAGGTGAGATGATTTTAAGCAAAGATCAGGTACATTTAAGAGGAGATATATGTGCTGATGCTTTTGCACATTCTGATATCTCAATAGATTCCTCGAAAAGCCCGTATACAGAAAAAGAAGTTGTGGCAGAAGTATCAAAGAAAGACTATAACTCTGATATAGGAAAAGAGGAGGAGGAAATCAAGTTAGATGAGTTAGGACTAATTAAAGAGCAGGAGAGTGTTGACACCATAGCTCCGAAACTTTTCAGTGTTCATGGAAAATATATTTCTGAAACAAAAACCAAAACATTGCCATCAGCTTCAGATAATAAACATGAAGTCAAGCCTTCACAAGCAGAAGACCGGATGATTTCCCATGTAGCTGATGAAAGAAGAGCTGAAGACAGTCATGAATTCAAAGAGTTTACTTGGCTAAAAGATAGGGGAAGCTCTGACAACAGAAGTCAAGGAAAAGAAATCACAAGCTCTGTTGAAGGCAAACCAGGGAAAGAGGAATACAGTGAGTTAAGTGATGACTTGAGGAAAACAGACAGTAGATACCCTGATGCTACTCAGAGTAAAATGACTACTTTCCCCGCTGGTTACCCAGACTTTGCAGTGACAACTGGCAAAGCAAGAGCTACAAGTACTGCGTCATTGAACCCAGAGGATACGCTTGATACTAAGGAGAATGATCATAAGCTTTTTGAGGATCGAATGTACAGCCAAGATAATTTCCCAAGAAACAAAAATATTTTGGAGACAGATCCTTGTCAACTTCAAATTGAGAAATCAGACAGCGTGGTTACAGATGATCAAAGTAGGGCAAGGTGTGAAAATCAAAAGTGGAGTGTTTTAGGAAGTCAACCAGTAGAAAGAGAGAGTGAGAAAAATAGAACAGAAGAGATTAAAGAGCAAACAGATGGTGAAGTCACGTTGGGAATGAGGGATAAGACAAGGTATTTGAATGTTACTCCCACAGAAGAATTGTTTACCTGCCAAGAAACAGTGAGGTGTGAAAAGTCTTCTGTAGCTGAACATGGTAATATAGAGGAAGCAGAAGCAGGTACAGCTTATATAATTAAAACAACATCAGAAAGTGCTTCAGAAAAAATGTCTGCTAGTGAAAAAGCAGTAATTGCTAAGCTACCTCAAGAGACTGCAGTAAGTGACAGGCCCACAGAGGAAAAGGAAACAGCGTTTGATACACATGAAGGGAGAAATGATGGTTCACATTATACTCTTTGTCAACGCAATACAGTGGGTGTATTATATGACACCGAATTTGAAAAGGAATCAGTTTTAGATATTTATAATGCACATGTACGTGAAACACTGCAAGGAGAAATGATGTCTGTATGCAATACCAAGGAAAAAGTTTCCAAAGCAGAACATGACACTCGAAATAATCCACCTGTAGAGGAAACATTACGGGCTTCTGCTGTAGAAGGAAAAGCAGGTTTGGAGCAGGATTTATATTCAGAAGAATCACCGAAAGCTCCCCCGAATCCTGAGCAGTGTCTGTACAGTGATGAAGCTGAAGAACTTCATAAGGAAGAAAGCATTTTTGGAACACTTTCCCATTCAGGTGCCAAAGCTGAAACAAAACCACCACCCTCTGATACAAATATTGTGCCCAGTTGTCATTATGAAAGCTCTCCAGCGACAACTTCTGAAGAGTCTATTGAGGTGGTTACTGCGGATGTAGAAAATATGGAGCATCCATTTACAGCCCCTGCATTCAAATCCATTGCCAATATTTCTGCTGAGTCAGGATATTCTTTCAGCCTACCAAGTGAAATGACATGTATTAATAAAAACAGCTCTGCTGAGGTTGAACACAAAGAAGTTCTTGAGACTTCAGACATGTTGACTTCAAGTGATGGAAAAGAAAGGAATACAGGCCAGTGTTTCCATCAAACAGAGTTCAGACAAGAGGAGTCATTAGGGCCAATGATTTTAATTAGTGAGCCTACTGAAGAAATAGAAGAGACAAGCTCTGAATCTGAAGGTTTAATAACTGAGGGAAAAATATTAAACTTGCCTGATGACTCAGAGCACGAAAACCAGCACATTTCTGATTCTTCAGATATTTCTGACCAGAAAAGCGAAGCACATAATTTACCTAGTGAGTCTCTAGTTTTAAAGCATATCAGTTACAGAATCTTTTATTTCCTCTTGTTTGTTGTATTTGTTGTAACAATCTACCACTATGATTTAATGGTTTGCTTTGCACTCTATCTATTTTCCTTGTATTGGCTATACTGGGAGGGAGGAAGAAGCAAGGAGTCTGTCAAAAAGGAATAACATTAAGTTTAATTGTCTACATACTGTACTTAAGGTTTGAGGTTGATTACTTCCCCCCACCCTAAAGCATTTTAATTGTTAAAAGGAAATATTCATTTTTAGAACCAGAGCGAGTTTTCTCCTGAAGCATCTTTCAAAAAGGAATACATATGAAGTTTGCTTCTTCATATAAGTAATTATTCTATATAGGACCATTATGTTTGGATCATTAAATACCTATATGAATATGAGATCTGAAGCACGTCAAGTTAAAATTAAGTACAGATGTTGCTCCTTAGCAGGCTGGGAGGTTGCAATGCTTCATATCTCTGCAGTACTTAAAAACACCATTTCTTGCATTAATTTCTCTTGCAGTAAAGCTTCATGGTTTTTTCTGAGTTTTTCTAAGGTTTTATACAGTAGATAACAGGGGAATGGCATTATGGCTAAGTCAGTACTTTAATATTGATCTTGCAAATGGTGATCTACTACTGTAATTAACCAATACATTTTGAGAGGTGAAATTTGTTGGTAGATTGAATAGTTCTTTCAGTTTTTTATTTCATTGTTTTGAGTTAGTGCAATAATAATATTCATATCTGAAAATATCAAGCTTAGACTCCAGTAACATTATGTAACTTTGAATACGTAATACTTCAGCAGAATATATTAGCTACTTTCATACTACCGAGCTGAAGGATACAGCTATGAGCCTGTTATCATTCACTTGCACAAACATTTATAGATGGGTTGTCTTCAGATCATATTTATATATTTTTTGTAAATGAAGACTGTGTAACACAGCTGAAGAATTTAATTGAATTCAAAATTATTCCAGATAGACCTTTTGAATGATGTTTTTCACCAGTGTTGTTTAAGAAAGGCATTCGTATCTTCAAAGCATTAAATAAAAAAAAAAAAGAGTGAATGATTTGATTGTGTGTGGCGTGTTCAGAATTGGGTTTGTGGCCTTTTTTTATAAGCTAACTAGGTCTCATTAGAGCACAGTAAAATAAACCCTGAAGGAAAACATGGGACATGAGCCTTGCCTCCAAAAAGGCTCCATTGTGCTGCTGTGGCGGTACACAATAGCCCCTAACAAGGTAGTTGGGGGACTCCGAACGTAGGGGGCGTGCTGGGAGGTTCACTGCTTCTAAGACACTCTTTTCCAGTGTACAGGCATGCCAGGAGCATGTCAGAAGAGGAAAGGGAGTGGCCAGAGCATGCAGCACTCCAGCAATTTCTAGCTGCAGAAAAGCCTGCGGGGAATCATTGCAACCAAGCATACCGTGGAGTAGCCCTGAGGCTGCATAATGTTACTGGGACCCCAGAGATTGAAGAAGGGCAAAAGTGGCTTTGAGCCACATAGGTTCGTCTCCTCGCAGCTCTGCATAGCTGAAGACCTGGGCCATTGTGGAGGCTGCAAAAGGCTTAAGTGCAAAATGTGGCTGAAGCTAGATAACGGTCAGGTTAATCACTTGTTTCAATCATTAGTTAAGCACTGAAACAAATTTTTGAAAGCTCACTTACTTGTAGCAGAATGTTAGGAGACCTTGCTACAGGAGTGACCTTGACTTTCCTGTTCTCCAGGAGGGTGAACCTTTGGAGCATCATGGAAGTGATCCATTCCGTGGGGTATGGAACGGTGTTGATGACCTACTGCTGATGTATGTACTGGTGGTTGAATATATGGACTACTGTTCACTGCAATCCTGACCTGGGTGATGTTAGTAGGTGCCTAGAGGCTTCAAACAGTTGCCAGGGAAACTTGTAGTAACACAGTCCTTATTAGAAGGACAGCCAGGGAATCCAGTCATGAAAGGAAATGTGGCTAGCTCAGGGAAGGTGATCCCTGAATTTTGAGGGACTGCAAGAGGCATGAGACCTGGAGGATTCTCTTGCTCTGTGTTGGATTGAACTAGCAGCTGATCCATGCTAGAAGAATAGGGACACTTTGGTGTGGAAAGCCATCTGTATTTAATGAAGTGGTCACATGTGGCTTCTTTCATTTATTTGAACTCAAACTTTGTTTGGTGTTCTTCGCTTGGTCTTGATTCATCTGTCCTGTCACAGTCAGAAAGGAAGGGAGGGATAAATGGTGGGACCAGAATTAAGTGTGGAAGAACATCAGTGCACTTCATCTAGATCAGTCTTTGAGCAATAGCCAGGCAAAACTAGGGAAAGCCCATGGGAGAGTACATGCAAACTACAGATGAGCCGAATAAATATGTACGTATTTGAGCTACACCGGTATGATACATTTTTTATGAATATGCATTCAAAAGAAAAAGAATCAGTGTCCTTCTAATCTGTTCTGTGTTATAATGTAGTTTAAACAAATAGCTGAAGATCATCTAAATTATATAATTTTTTTCTGTCCCTTCATATGGTAAATATACACGGTAAGCTAGCTCCAGATAGCCGAGTTCCATTCATCCCTGTGTCCAGTAGGTTAGGAATCTCAAACTTTGCCATTTTAACATGTACAAATATTCTGAGTTGAAATTTAGAGTAAATATTTGAATGTTAGAGTGAGCATAGTTTAATCTAAATACAAGTGGAATACTGTTAGCATTTCTCAGATTTGGAATGGGATTTCTGTATTCTATATTTACGATGTTTAGTTAGCATATCATATCTTATGATTGCAAAACATAGCTCTAGATTGATCTGTGAACACAGGTGCCTGAACTTTTACTTATGTGCTTAAAACAACAAAGCTATTCATTCTATCTTTTTTTTGTTTAACATTTGATATACCTTTTAAAAATCCTCTTACCTTTCTTTGTAGTCTGAAAACACTACCCTTATAACACTGGGAAAATATTCATCTTTGTGTTTTTACTTATTTCCATGAAGAAATGGTTTATTGGCTTAAGCATTTAAAAAATCACATTTAACCTGTCTAGTAGTTCTAACAGCATGAATCTGGTTAGCCAATAATAGCCACTGCTGCACACTAAACAAAATGGATGGTATGGTTCTATACAGCTTGCAGGCTTGTCACTATGAGAAGCCCAGTACTGATCTAACAGAGACTAAATCACATTTAATTTGAAAGAAAGTCTTTCTTTACTATATCAAGGGTACAAATTAGGGAATATCTCATGGCGGCTGTCTGAACTATACGTCTAACGGATAAATGAGTTTTCACATTTCAGCATTTCCTCTTATCTAAATGTAACTTTCAACTAAAATTCTGAAGAGACTCAAGGAAGTTTGTGTCTGGGCAGCTGGTTAGTAGAAGACAGTGAGGCTTAAAACCACCAATAATGTCACAAACATGTACTGTGTGGCTGATGTATTGCTGGTTGCCACTGTTGGCCTTCTGTCTGTGCAGCATACAGACCACAGGCAGCAGAGAAAGGAGGGACAGAGCGGAGATGACAGGCTTCTGAGGGGCTCTTTTTGTTCATCACTAGAGGTAGAGCTACGAGTGCCTAAAGATGCACCTTCCTGCCTCTGCCTTTGCTTTTCCAAACCCAGCAACAAGTGGGGAGCTTCTGCATTGGTGGGTGGGCAGCAGGGTTCTGAGTTTGGTTGTGGTGTATGTCAGGGCCAGGGGAGGGTTCTAAGCTTAGCAATGGCTTGTTGAGCCTGGAGTATTGGGGCTGGAGAAGTGAAAGGTGGCAATAGGGAAGGAGGGGAGTCAGGATGGTGTTCTGAGCTTTGAAGTATTGCGTGGGGGAAGTTTCAGAGCTGAAGCAGTTAGTACAGAGCAAAGAAGATGTTTATATAGGAAATGGGGGATTTTCAGCCTAAGACACAAGCGAGTATGTGTGTGTCTGGTGAATGGGGTTGGGTTGGAAGTTGTGGGGATTGGAAAAGTTCTGAGCTGAGAGGGGGATGGAATGGGCTGGGTGAAGAGGGACATGGAATCAACTGATGAAGAAGGTTGTGTGTGAATTGGTGGTATGTGATGTGTTGCGGCAGTGTGAGAGCTAGACTGGAGGGGTGATAGCAGGAGCATATTGGTACCAAGAAAATGTTTCCCACAAAAAATAGTCATTTGCAAGACTTCTGAACACCTTTATCTAATTACATGACAGTTTAATGGTTCAGACAAGGTTGTGTATATAGATTAAAAGAGCTGAAATTAAAAGAGACACTAATGCACCTGAACACTTTTATCAGTTTCCAGCTAGTGGAATTACTGTACAGATCTTCTCAGTGGACATCCTGACCTTAATGTTCTATAGGCAGGGAACCTGACAACAACTCTGGCCCAGCCAGTACTCACAGAACACTACAAAATTCCTGAGAGGCCCCCATCCTCCAGTGGCCATGAGTTTGGTTCAGTGGCTGGCTATCCAGGCCTGTGACTATGGAGATGAAACCACAAGCCATAATTCTCAGCTGTAACCAAGGAGAACATGGTGTAGATTAGTGTGTGTGCACTTTCTGAAGTCATTCTGGGTTATTTGGTTACCCCGAATCACTTAGAGTAGTCTGAGGGCTGCTTCGATTTGTGCCAACTGTCAATGGCTGCAGGAGGGCATTATGGCTTCAGAAAGTGCACACACACTATGATGGCTCTGTATCTCCTGAAGGTTCCCTCTCCTCTGGGGAGATCCTTTTGTGGCTGGTTCTACATCAACTTTGCACTGCTAGAAGTACCCTAATGCAGAGGAAGATCAGGATAAGATACTCTGGCCCTCACTGCTATATCTGGCCATGGGGGACTGAGAACTTCTCAGCTAAGGGACAAACATGGCCCCACTCCCAGGGTAATCAGGGCAAGGCAGAGAGACACAGCCATTCTCCGGTACCCACAAACACTTCTTTTTTCGGGGGGGGGGAGTTAATTAAGCCCTCACATCCAGGAGCTTCTGTCTTCCCTTGTAGGTTGCTTTCCAAGGCCTGCAGGGTCTGTATGTGAGAGAGACAGAGGGGGTCAGGATCTGTGGAGGAATAATGAAAAGAGCGGGGAGCTAATTTGTCTGAGTTTCAGTTTCACACCCCTCCTCTGAGGCTCTACTATACTGTGTGGCTAAGGAGCTGCTTGGCATTCTCTGCTATGCCTCTATGAAGCCAGTCAACAATCACAGGAGTAAGTGGCTTACACACCTCTTGGTTTCATGGGACGGGGGTCAGGATCTGGCCCTTTGAGTTTAATGAGCTGTTTTAGTTAGGAGACCATACAGTTTGATTAATGGGTGTTATTTAATATGTCTGTCACTTTATAAAGCTTTATCCAGTGTATATGTCTGTCCTGATTAATAAAAGAATATGACTGGAGCCTCTAAAATACAAAATGCTCTATCACACAGTGATGTGATGCATTTTTAGTGCAGAATCCTGTTTATATTGTGCAGAGTTTATGTTGAATTTGAGCAGAATTTGTAGACAGTCCCTTAAAGCAGAGAGAGAAAGAGAGGGAGGAAGATCAAGAGCAGCATGGGTGTGTATATGTGTGTGTTAGAACTTAAATAGTGGCTAAAAGGGGGTATTATCTTACTCCAGATTCAGGTTGATCTTGTGGTCAACACATCACAGCTCTCTAAAACACACCCCAATCCAGAACAGGGCACAACACCAACCAAGACTTATATTTTTCCCCACGGGTGATATTAAGAACGATGAAAGCACCATTAGCAGAAAGCAGATGATGAAGGACTGCAGTCTCTGGGGTAAAAGACATGTTTCACTTTCTCTTAGGGCTTGTTTACAATGTGCTTTAGTCTGCACTACGGGGGGGTAAATGCTAGTTTGCAGTAGTAGTGTGTTGTGCAGCAGCTGGCCTGTATGGATCCTACTGGCGTGCACTAAGGGTACATCTACACTGCCCGCCACTTTTGGCAGCATGTAGGGCATGTGTAGCTACACACTGCAGTGAAAGGTAGCCTGCATCTACACTGAGATGCGTGGTTACA